TGTTACAACTTGGTCTTTGTAACTTATAAAACAAGCTGGTGGGAAATTGAAATGAAAAAGTCAAGTTGTTCCATTTTAAGGTTCGATAATCCACTATTTATAATATCGGGGTTTGAAGGTGATCACGTTCCAGCTCATGTGGATGAACAGAATATGAAGGCTTGTAATGAAAGGGCTTGAAACTGCATTAATTTATATTCATTAATGCCGCATTTAGTTGATCGAGTGGAGAACATGATGAATTAAACGTAACACAGGCAAGCACTTTCAGAATGGATTGTGCTTGGTTAAATTTCAAGTTAACCATAAACTTTTTGCACCGAATCACCTCGGGATCAGCATGAAAAATGCTTATTTGGCGCATAACCGACTGTTGTTAAAAATAAGACAGCCCTCCTCCCATAAAAATAAGGTTATTGCGCTAAAATAAATGGGGATTTTACTGGCATCCCTTGCCTGACCGAAGTAGATAAGGCGTCCTCCTTTTCCACCCCGTGTAAACTTCGGCGTGCACCTTATTTCCAAAAACGTGTATAAGGGTTTTTCGTTTCTTAAGAACAATATTATTATTTAACTGTGAACTTTTTTTTATATAAAATATTTACTAAACACTTTTTAATTTTAATACCAGAGTAGGCCGTGCTGTAGTGAAAGGTGCCCAGGAAAACAGTTGGATATAAGCGATCTTTCTGCCGTAAAAAATGAAAGCTTTCTTCTAGACCTATAAAGTCCAGCACCGCTGAAAACCATCAACATCAATCGATGAAAAATTTAAGAAAGCTGGGAAGAACCCGTCAGCCCTTAAAAAAGTTCATTATCATTTTTAAGTAATAGTGTCTGTCTATCAGCCTCTTAGTAGAACCTCAAAAAGAATCGAATTTTAAACAATTCATGATAACGTTATGGTCTGTGATTCGCCTTACATAAGTCTGACAGAAGACAGTTGAAGACTTCAGAAAAAAACCCCTTCTAACCCCCTGCAACGCAAACCAAAACTGGATGTTAAAGGTGTGGCGTCGCATAACGGAAATATTTTGAAGATAGCCCGTTTAGGTTTTTCCAAGAGAGTGAGTTTAGCCTGCAGGCTGCTGTAGTGGCAGTGGTGTATAATTCCAGTTGACTTGGAGTGACACAAGGTCACCCAATGGTGTCATTGTAAATGTAAATCGTGTTTGTCATCCCAGTGGTATACCTCGTAATTGACGAGTTGATCACGTGGGTACCGTTTCCCCAGTACATTTTGTGCAAATTGGCATGCCGCAAAAGGATTCAATACTGCTAGGTGTCCTGACGGAACTTTCTTTTGCCAATTTGTCTACCTTCGCCGTCTGATATGCCATGGTACTAAAACAAGGGTGATTTTGATATACACCCCACTGACTGCCTTATGCAATCACAAACTGCTCTCTGCCTCCAGTACGTTTTTTCAATTTGGTAAGCAGCTGAAGGACTCCGGGTAGGAATACTGATCGAACTATGTCAATTTATCGTCCTTCTACTTACTCTTCTACGCTGTAAATACCTAAATGGCTAATTTTGTTGTACCCATGGCAAACTGGGCTTTGATACAATCTCAAATGGCATGTTTCTTTATTTCTATCTACATGCCCTTAGTGCAACCATCTTGTCCGAGCAGACAGCTTTTATTTTGTTGGTACCACATCTTGCGATCGATCTGGCACGGTATTAAACGGCCATAGTCTCCGCCTGGAGGAAAGTGGCAAACTGTGTAAACTTATCAGTCTTCTAGTACTTGGTAGTATGCAAACCGGTGAGGACGAACATCCAGTACTCCATCAACCTATTTGAGTGGATTTAGGTTTACAAACTGCATAAGGGGCCGAGTCTTCGACGCTAGGTCAGATAAGAACCATGCCTGACCCTGGATTTCTAAATCCAAAGTCGTAAGTTAAGTTATATCTAGCGACGAACTGATAATTTCGTATATTTACATAACACTGTTATAAAATGAGTGTTAATTTATTCATAATTAATCCGAACTGTAAGTGATATATTATTTCTTAGCAACTATCATTCGAATCAAGTATAAGTAATAATATAAGCCTATTATTATGTCACACAAATGTTGAACAAAAAAAAAAAAAAAATAAAATAAACGAAAAGACGTTGCCAGTTAGGAATCGTATCAAGTATAAGTAATAATATAAGCCTATTATTATGTCACACAAATGTTGAACGAAAAAAACAAAAAATAAACGAAAAGACGTTGCCAGTTAGGAATCAAATCAAGTATAAGTGATAATATGCGCCAATTATTATGCCAGAGAAATGTTGAACGAAAAAAAAAATAAATAAACGAAATGACGTTGCCAGTTAGGAATGGAATCAAGTATAAGCGATAATATAAGCCAATTATTATGTCTTAGAATTGTTGAACGAAAAACAAAAAAAAACAAAAAACGAAAAGGCGTTGCCAGTTAGGAATCGAATCAAGTATAAGTAATAATATAAGCCTATTATTATGTCACACAAATGTTGAACGAAAAAAAAAAACAAAAAATAAACGAAAAGAGGTTGCCAGTTAGGAATCAAATCAAGTATAAGTGATAATATACGCCAATTATTATGTCAGAGAAATGTTGAACGAAAAAAACAAAAACAAAAAATAAATAAACGAAATGACGTTGCCAGTTAGGAATGAAATCAAGTATAAGCGATAATATAAACCAATTATTATGTCACAGAATTGTTGAATGGAAAAAAAAAACAAAAAAAAAACGAAAAGACTGCCAGTTAGGAATGGAATCAAGTATAAGCGATAATATAAGCCAATTATTATGTCTCAGAATTGTTGAACGGAAAAAAAAAACGAAAAGGCGTTGCCAGTTAGGAATCGAATCAAGTATAAGTAATAATATAAGCCAATTATTATGTCAAATAATTGTTGAACGGAAAAAAAAACGAAAAGGCGTTGCCAGTTTGGAATCGAATCAAGTATAAACGGTAATATAAACCAATTATTTTCTCACTGAATCTGTTCTGCATAATCTTATTGTCTAAACCCCTATGGCAGGGATAATCAAACTACACTGCGTTTAACACAATACAAATTCACAATTCTATTTAAAAGCTCAGGATGCTTTTACTTTCAGCCTTTATGTCTTTGTTCGACGTTGTTAAAGCATAATCCGGCGAAAAATCACGATTTATACCTGCCATTTATGAAAGAAAGAAAAAGCTATTTGTCACGCACAAAGGGGTTTTGTTCCGACCGGATTTGCCATACATTTCAAACAAGGACAATCTTTTTTTTATATGACAGGAATCGTTCACTATGCGAGGAAAAGCGGACCTTATACCTCCCCTGGGGCATACATGACAAATACGAAGTCCTGGGATTTTTTTTTCCATGCGAGGTGTTTTCCCTTAGAATCGACGCGTGCGACGGAAATGGCGATATAATTAACACGTCGGGGTTAAATTCCAAAATTGGCCCTTGCAAAACGATTCATAATTGAACGGCACCTGTAAATCGATTATACAGATTGGCCATCGAGGCAGAGTTCCGGCCTTGGGAATTGGCACAGCTTCCGTTGTATATTTACTGAACTTTACAGATAATCCATCATTAGAAAAAGGTTTTTATTTGAGGGCAAAATGAAAACTTTGGCAGAACAAATCAACCAACTCATTAAACCCAACCACCGGACCTAACCACCGCGATCCGGCCTTCTGACGCTACAAATGCAATGAAAAACACGATTAAAAGAAAATGGCAGAGTGCCGGACTGGTGGAGAAGCTCTCGAGTATCATAGCTGTCGATAGCTCTACGAGGGCCTGATTCCTAGAAGAAGGGTCATCCTCACCCGATAAAGAATAGGCCATGGGTTGACACACGTTTTGAGCCAAACCCTGTATGCGTGCGGGATGTAGAGAAAGGTGGCTATGGGTCCCACATATTTGAATAGTACAATTCCTTAGATACATATAGAGAACGCGTAAGAATTTTTTCCTTTCTCATTACTGGAGGAAATAGGGTTGATTTAGCGTATATAGTAATGACTTGTGTCCCTAGCATGTGTTGAGAGTGAATGTGTGTGAATGTATTATGGAAGACATCATCGATCAATTAGGTTACAAATACTACTACACTGAGTGAACGGTATGTAAATAGTAAGAATGTATTCAAGGCCTCTATCAGACGAGGCGTGTGGTTTAACAACTAAATTGCCAAGTTGACTCTTCACTAGTTTACTGACGTGTGAAGTTTTTTCTTAGCTGGTTTCACATCAGGCAACTTGAGGAATCAACCTCTCTTCCCAACGGAAGGTCACTACGATGTTGAAACCAGAGGAAGCAGAAGCACTTCTTGTGCTTGCTCTTCTGTAAAAAGAGAAGCAAAAAGGAGGAAACCTTTTAATTTTGGCACTACTGTCTCCACACCACATGTCCCATATCACGGGAGAAATACGAATATCTTCAATGAACTGCTCCATATTGAAAATTGCAATTGCAACGCTTTACTTGGTGAACTCAGTTGACTCAACTAGGCCACTGGTGTGAAGGACGAATGCCGAGCAGTGTCTTTCGTGTTGAGTCAACCAGTGGGAGCCTGGGTAGACGAAGTGACTGTGGGGCGATTCCCAAGCATGCTTACACTCCTTGACACCTGTCCGTTCAACTAGTCGCCTCGTCTGAAAGAGGCCCAAGAAAGAGAGTGGGAAGGGGTTTGGATCTAGGAACTGCGTTAGGTTCTGAATTGACCTAGCTGTTGAAACCACCTGCAACCTACGATGACTGGACTGCCAACACCCGGGGTGGGTGATTCTCAACCCCTGCCGGAATTTCATTTTAAATTACAAAATCTGAAATAACCGGTAGTCTGCGAGAAGTGATCGGCATGACTCTGTACAAGCACGTGGAGATTTCAGTTTATATACATCAAGAGCAGCAACTCAATAAAGAGCAAAGCGGGAAAAATAATCTAATAAAACTCCTGAAATTTAAAAGATTATATTTCATGAATAATAAAACTCACCTTTCTTATATCGTCGAGATTGTGTATTTCGGGCGAAAGTCCTCCATGGACGCAGAGGAACTGTTGGTGCATAAGGGCGGCGAGAGGAAGGCAGTCGAACGCCTCCATACAAGCATCGTAAACACGCTCAGAGTATTTTATTTTACCTGAAACAAAAATAAAATTTGAATAAAGTCCACAACCTGGCAACTAATTTTTTCAAGTGTGTTTCTCATTCGTTTAATAGGGTGGTGGATTCCTCACCCTTTTACCTACACTCCTAAGGACTATAAAGTCAAACTTCCGGTTAGTGGAATCTGATAAAACACAATGTACGTATATTCATTCGATCATGACCGCATTTGTAGGTTATTTACGCAAAGAAAAGGAAGAAACTGCCAGCCATATTTTTCTGGAATGTTGTGCAAGGGGTGTCACGTTTTGGATTCCAATTTAAAACACATGTAACAAAAAGAACCAACCCCTTACCTTACTCAAGCCGTACCTTTAGATAGCGCCTGAGGAATGCGTTAAGTATAAAAACTAAATTTTTTTAAAAATGAACTAGCACGGTCCGCAGGTTTCGGACTCGCTAAGTTACACAGTGGGGCCAAAACGCCAAAAAGCGGAAATAATTCAGCAACACCCAATAAGTTAGGTGCACCGAATTTCGTGTGTTTATGTTTTTTAATGCGCTGAAATCAAGAAAACCGTTTTCGAATACAGACTACTTCCGTAAACTGTCCAAAATCCAAAAATAGAAAACGTCTTAAATAATCATCATAGGTACCGTTTTCTAGTTTTTTTAAATATGCTAAATCCAATTTTGAGCGGTGAATAGTTATCATTCATTGATTCTGCAATTAATTTACTATAAGAAACGTGTATTAAATTATTGAAACGACAACTTTAGAAAAATTGGATTTTTTCCGCCTTCGCCCCGAGGGCCAAACCGCCAAAAGCTGAAAAAATTCAGTAACACCCATGCTATTTATGTTAGTTTCCCCAAATTTTGTGTTTGTTTTTGCTGAATTTAATGAAACCGTTTTCGAATCGATTAGAGTACAATAAACTGTCCAAAATCCAAAAATAGAAAACGTCTTAAATAATCATTATGGGTATCGTTTTCTAGTTTTTTTATATGCTAAATCCAATTCTGAGCGGTGAATAGTTATCATTCATTGATTCTGCAATTAATTTACTATAAGAAACGTGTATTAAATTATTAAAACGACAACTTTAGAAAAATTGGATTTTTTCCGCCTTCGCCCCGAGGGCCAAACCGCCAAAAAGCTGAAAAAATTCAGTAACCCCCATGCTATTTAAGTTAGGTGCACCAAATTTTGTGTATTTATGTTTTTTAATGCGCTGACATCAAGAAAACCGTTCGAATCGATCAGACTACAGCAAACGTTCCAAAATGGTGTTCCAAAATCAAAAACTTAAATAATTCACTAGTTATCGTGGTCCGGTTGACCAACTAATATTTTTCAATAAATTAAATTATTAAAACGTTTCGGATACGCACCAGCCGCTGCATTTGCGGGGCTTATTTGCACAAAATAAATTGTAGAGCGTTCCCAAACTGTGCCACCTGTGATCAACCAGAAACTATCAAACATTTGATTTTAGAGTGTCCAGTGTGTACCAGAATAGATTTCCTTGAAAATCTGTACATCATAAAAGAAATCAACCAACCTCAGCTGGGAGAGCCTACTTGCTCTTAACAGAGTGGACGTATACAAGGTCATATATTCTTTCTTACAAAATAGTGGCATCAACGTGTAAACATCGTTAAGGTAAAGGTCAGTTCAATCCCCTTGGGGTTCAGCTCGGATGCGGAGCTGTCTTCGGGTCGGGCTCTCTAAACGCGCTGGGCCTTTAGTACCCGGGATATGGACTTTTCCATAAGACCATGCGTCATATTTTTTTGTAAATGGTTTTTATCCACATCCTCCAAACACCTGTTTTATGAAGAACAGTAGCCTTTTAAACTGTGCAAAGTGTGGACGAGAGCCTCCCCGGGGATGCGTTCTGCGGCCGGCGGGGATCCCCTCCTCGTAGGACGGCTATTGGCTTCCCGATTGTTTGATCTTTATTTATTCTGTAGTATTTATTGTTGTTAGTCGATAGTTAAATATTGTATCTGCTACTTGTTATTTATTTATTAGTTTGTGTCTTAAAATTGTTAGTTTTGTCAAAACGTAATTTGTTATTGGTAGGTCTGCACTTTTATTTGTTCATTGTTGTTTGTCTTTATTTATCCTTTGTTGTTGTGGTTGTTTTCGTAACGAATTTTTGATTTTTAGTACTTATTGTGGTTGATCAATATTGCTCTCGTTACTTGTTATTTATTCACTGCTCTATGATTCTGAATTTCTAGTCATGTTAAAAATTGGAATTTCATATTTCAAAGGTCCGTACTCTTGTTGAATGTTCCAAAACAATGCAAAAAAAAACTTTAAAAAAAACGTCTTAAATCATGGGTCATCATTTTCTATGTTTTTTTCTATATCAAATCCAATTTTGTGCGGTGAATAGTTATAACTTATTAATTCTACAATTAATTTACTGTAAGAAACGTGTAGTAATTTATTAAAACTACAACTTCAGAAAAATAGGGTTTTTTCAGCCTTCGCCCCAGGGCCAAACCCTGTTTTTCGGCAAACATTATAAACCGTCGATTTTTATGCTTTTTGGGGTACTTAATCGATTGCAACTGGTCTCAGGGCCATGGGATGAACACCTAACGAAGAAACAACTATTCATATGGTGGATAATTATCAACATCTTGTACTGATTTTTCAAAAAAATCACATTATGCCATCAGTTGGAACTTGGGCTTCATCTTTCAGTGATTTCCACGCACTCGAAAATCGGTTGTCCAAAATCGAAAAATAGAAAACATCTTATTTATTATTACATACATTATTTGTGTGGTGTTTAGTGACCGTTATTCGATGATTATTCGGAAATCGTGAGATGCGGTCTGGTGTGATGTAGGTTTCAGAACATTTTCTTTATCGTGCCAACGTTTCGACTTTAATTGAGATCATCTTCAGGGATTTACAAGCATTGTTTAAATTTACCAAATACATGTAGGATGTGGAAAAAAGTGAATTTATACAATGCAAAAAATATTTTTTATATTCAATCAAAGTATTTCTACGAGTATTTTCACCTCAAAGAAACCGATTCCTTATACAAAATGTCTTCCTATACTGACTTCCTTCCCCACCCCTTCAAAATCCAACATATACAAACATAAAATAGCAGTATCTCACTGGCACTCTCAACACGATAAGAATGACAATTACGCAGAAAACAAACACTTTGAGTGAGTAGAAAATACTTTGATTGAATATAAAAAATAATTTTTTGCATTGTATAAATTCACGTTTTTCTACATCTTACATGTATTTGTTAAATTTAAACAATGTTTGTACATCCCAGGCCCTGATGATGATCTCAATAAAGATCGAAACGTTGGCACGATAAAGAAAATGTTTTTCTGAAACCTACGTCAGACCAGACCGCATCTCACGATTTCCGAATAATCATCATGGGTATCGTTTTCTAGTTTTTTTTTTTTATATACTAAATGCAATTTTTTGCGGGGAATGATTATAATTTATTAATTCTACAATTAAGTTACTATAAGAAACGTCTATTAAATTATTAAAATGGCCAATTTAGAAAAACTGGATTTTTTCCGCCTTCGCCCCAGGGCAGGAACAAGGCCGAGATTTTGGCAATAGAGTTAAGACAGGATATTCCCCTGTAATTATTAACGTGGTTAACATCGCCGCTGTAATATACTAAATGCAGAGGGAGTAAGGCCAGGATCAAATATTGAATTGAAAAATACAAAATGATGAAGGAATGGCGGAAGAGCATACTTGCAGAATTCGTAAGGAATCCTGTCGTTCCCTGGTGATTTATTGTTTTTAACGCCAACAATTACTGAATTCAACTTTGACAAAATAAAAGGGGCATCTAAAAAAGAGTTGTTAAAGGTTCAGCAAAATAAACAAGGGATTTATTAGCAACAGTACGATTCAAGAGATACTTGAAATGAGAAATCCATGAGTTAAGAGAAATTTTGTTTCCGCGTATATTTTTGCTTTTGAAGGTGTTTACGTGTTTATTTGGGGGGCGTCGGTGGCCGCAACGTTTAGGCGTTGACACGGCGCTTATCACTGTAAGGTAAGGGTCCCGGGTTCGAATCTAGCGGCCCTCCATTCGAACGCAACATACTTACGAATGGGCTTTTTTTCACAAACACCGGCACCCCGAGGTTGATATAACCTCTAGTGTTGTGAACCCTCGGGGGGAAGAAAAAAAAAACTTACTAAAAGCGCTTTGCTACTATACTATTTTCGGGCTAAAACTTATAATTTACCTCACTTCTAAGTTAATTCATCCATATAAATTTAGCCGCCATAATTGTTCATATTAATTATTTCAATTAATTATTCTTTTTATTTAAGGTGTTGGTTGAGATAAAAAAGTTAGTGTCATGAGCGGGATTCGAACCCACGACCTATGTGACACGATAGCCCAAGTAGTAGAGCATTTAATGAGCCGGAGGTCGTGGGTTCGACTCCCACCCATGCCACTAAATTTTTCATCTTAACCAAGACTTAGATAAAACGAATAATCCATTAAAGTATAATTTTGGCCTTAAACAATAATTTCTAGATTTTATATATTTTATTTGACTGAAATGTTATTTGAAAGAGAAAAAAAGCTAAATATATGATATGTTGGTTTCTTCATGGCAAACATATTTGAATATTGATTTTGTTTGTTGTTTTAATGTAGCAGGGTTTGGTTTGTTTTTCTCTTATTCTCTGTTGTTTTTTTTTACCTTGCAAAAAATCCAATTTAATGCCCAGCAGCGTAATCCCTCTTATTTCTCTCCTTCTCATTCCCACGCAATATACTTACAAATGGGCTTTTTTTTCAAAAACACCGGCACCCTGAGGGTTTATATGACCTCTGCTGTTGCGAACTCTCGTTAAAAAAAATTAACGATAAAATAATTAAACAATAACTAAAAATTAAGTCATTTTACCAATCTGCACATTTTTGCCTACCACCTAAGAGCAGTACTTGAGCGGGTGGCAGGAGTTACGTCGGTGAATAAAATTACTAAAAATTAAAG